AGAGAAAGACTTGGCTATGGCTTACCCCGTAGGGTGTCCACAGGGAAGGTGGTGGGGTCTGGTGGGGGACGTTCCTTAAAGAAGGGGACATTGTGGCAGATGTGGCCCAGCCCTGGAGACACCCCCTCCCCACCACCTGGAGTTTATACCATTTATGGCCTCCTAACTCATTCATTCAGGTATGAGCTAACTCATTCATTCAGGTATGCAGTAACTCACTAACTCATTTAAGTATGCACTCACTAACTCACATATCGTATCCGAGTGCTTCCTAAGGCATCTCAAATGTGCAAATCTTTGGTGAGCCCCCAGTGAGACTCCTGGCTCTGAATTTGATCCAGAAAGGTGAGGCCTTGGGGGAGGGGGCTGGGGAATGAGCCACAGAAAGCCTTCCTTAGCCCCCCGACCTAGACCGGGGTGAGCCGGGGTCTGTTTCGCAGAGGGCCAAGCTGAGGCCCAGACACTCTGAGAGGAAGCTAGACTCTGAACCCCCTCTCCGTACCCTGGGTGCCGGGGATCTGCCACGCCAAGTCCCCGGCAGGGCAGACGGGGGAGGCAAGGCCCTGGCTGGGGGCCTCCGAGCCTCCATCCCACTCCTTGGGCCACCCCCGCCCCCGTGTCCATGGCAACCACAGGCCGTTACATAACCTAAGGGGGGATACCCGAGCAATGCACCCCCATTGTCTAGGTGTCTAGGGCCTGGAGAAGGGGGCCAACTGCCTTCCTGCTCTCCAACCCAGGTTGGGCGCCGCTAAGGTAACGCACGGCCGAGACTGAGCCCGCAGCGGACCCAGGAATACTGGAGTGGAAGCAGGCCGTGCCCCCCACCTCGAGTGGGACTCTAATCCCGGATTGCGGAGGGCAACGCACAGGCGCCACCCCAGCCCTGCTTCCCCGCGCCCGGCCCCCGCCTTCCAGGTGTTCGTCAACCCTGCGGCGGGGTCCAGCCCACTGGGCTCCGTGGCTTCCTAAGAGCTCAAACGCGGGGTTGGTGGACACCACTCCTGCGAAGTGGAGGCCCCGGGGCTTCGATCTCTCCTTTTGGGGCCCGCTCCCCGCTCACCTCATCGAGGGCCGCGGGGCCCGGGTCGGGGCGGAGGGGGTCCCGGGCGGAGAAGCCAGCGTCCTCCTGCTGGCGCCGTTTACATGGTGGCGCGGTGTCAGGCCGGGTGAGTCTATACGGGCGGGCACCGGCCCCTGGCGGTCAGAGCAGGGGCATCCCGCGGCCGCGGAAAGAACCGGCCCTTTAAGTTCCTCCCCCGAGTAGGCGGAGCCGCGCGCCGACGAGCGGGCGCCTTGGCCTATCCCAGCTGCGGACTGACCTGTCCTAGTTAGACGCCCAATCAGAGGCGGCAGTTCTGGAGTGGAGGCGGGCTCTGGAAGTAACAGCCCCACCCCTTTTTGGGGTCTCACAGGGGTGGGGGGAGGGATTGGGCCTGGCTCTTAGGCGGAGAAGAGGTTTGCAGTCTGGGGTCTGCCCGACGCTTGGGAGTGCATGGCCGGAGCCCTTTCTCTGCAAATGGGTCTCCCAAGCCCCTCCCTTGGGCCCCTGCCTCTGAATTGCCCTGTTCCTCTCCAAACGAGGCCCCCATGCCCCTCTCTCTGTATTGACCTTTCCATTCTAGAAGCAGACTCCAAGATCTTTTTCCAATATCCAGTGGTGAAACTGAGGCTCATAAGGGGCAAAAGAGCATAAATCAAGTAAGGGGCAAAGCTGGGACTTGAACCCAAGGCTACGTGATTCCAACACCTGGGAACCATTATTCGCTAACCTTCCCCACCCCCTTGATTTTTGGTAGGGAGGAGGTCTCAAACTCTGGGCCTCAAGCAATCCTCTAGCCTCGGCCTCCCAACTCCCCACCCCCCACTTTTTTTTTTTTTTGAGAGAGTCTCCCTCTGTCGCCCAGGCTGCTGAAGTGCAGTGGTGCGATCTCAGCTCACTGCAACCTCTGCCTCCCCGGTTCAAATGATTCTCCTGTCGCAGCCTCCCACGTAGCTGGGACTAAAGGTGCCTGCTACCTTGTCCAGCTATTTTTTTGTATTTTTAGTAGAGGTGAGGTTTCACCATTTTGGCCAGGCTGGTCTCAAACTCCTGACTTCGTGATCAGGGATTACAGGCCTGAGCCATCATGACGGGCTTCTCTAAAGCTTCCACGGGAAGTCTTGGTGCTAGAGTAGGGAGTTTGAATTTCATAATCAGCAGATTTAACCGACGGCTGCCATGGTTCTGAGGAGGGCTGAGAGCCAGAGGCAGGCATCCCAGTTCTGCGGTCCTGGCGGGGCCATGGTAGGCCCCGAGGAGAGCCCATCTCTTAAACCCAGCCTCTGCCCTTTGCTGATGTGTGACCTTGGGCAAGTCACTTCACTTTCCTGAGTCTGTTTATTTCTCTCTGAAATTAATCCTCTGATAAGTCTGCTATTCAGGCAAAGTACTCATCACAGTGTCATGCATGTAACAAGTGCTCCACATATTATGGGCAGTATTGTGGTGGTGATGTTTTGCTGAATGATGCTGCAGGTAGGATGGTCTTTGGAGGATGAAGGGTTAAATGCTCCTTGCTGCTTGGCCACTCCTATCCTCTGGAATTTGCTGCCACTGGCTGGATTCTGTCCAGCCGCCCACTCTTGCCCACTAAGGGCACTTCTGGGAGACTATACCGTTTATTCATTTAGCAAACACCTCTCTGTATGAACCCCAAGCTGGCACCTGTAGAGATACAGCCCCAGACCTGGCCCTTGTGGAGGCCTGAACTTGAGGGAGAGTTAAGGGAAGGCAATTGGGCCAGAAGAATGGACAGGGGTTGAGAGAAGAGGACTTTTTTTTTTTTTTTTCCAAGAAAACAAATCTTACTGAAATTTTAATTGGAATTGTATTTATATCATAATTTGGGGGTTTTGACTTCTTTTTTTTATTGCATTTTAGGTTTTGGGGTACATGTGAAGAACATGCAAGATTGTTGCATAGGTGCACACGTGGCAGTGTGATTTGCTGCCTTCCTCCCCATCACCTACATCTGGCGTTTCTCCCCATGCTCTCTCCCCAACTCCCCACCCCCCACTTTTTTTTTTTTTTGGAGACGGAGTTTCACTCTTGTTACCCAGGCTGGAGTGCAATGTCGCGATCTCGGCTCACCGCAACCTCAGCCTCCTGGGTTCAGGCAATTCTCCTGCCTCAGCCTCCTGAGTAGCTGGGATTACAGGCACGTGCCACCATGCCCAGCTAGTTTTTTGTATTTTTAGTAGAGACGGAGTTTCACCGTGTTGCCCAGGATGGTCTCGATCTCTTGACCTCGTGATCCACCCGCCTCGGCCTCCCAAAGTGCTGGGATTATAGGAGTGAGCCACCGTGCCTGGCCAAAAGAACTTTTTTTTTTTTTTTTCTTGAGACAGAGTCTCGCTCTGTCGCCCAGGCTGCTGAAGTGCAGTGGTGCGATCTCGGCCCACTGCAACCTCTGCCTCCCGGGTTCAAAGGATTCTCCTGTCTCAGCCTCCCATGCAGCTGGGATTAAAGGCGCCTGCTACCTCGTCCAGCTATTTTTTTTTTTTTTGTATTTTTAGTAGAGGTGGGGGTTTCACCATTTTGGCCAGGCTGGTCTCAAACTCCTGACCTCGTGATCTGCCCACCCTAGCCTCCCAAAGTTCTGGGATTACAGGAATGAGCCATAGAGCCTGGCCTCTTTTTCTTTTCTTTTCTCTTTTTGAGACAGGATCTCACACCACTGCCCAGGCTGGAGTGCAGTGGCACTATCATTGCCCACTACAGCCTGGATCTCCTGGGTTAAGGGAATCCTGCCACCTCACCTTCTGAGTACCTGGGACTATAGGTGGTTGTGACCATGCCCAGTTAATTTTTTTTTAATTTTTAGACACAGGGGTCTTGCCATATTGCCCAGGCTGGTCTCAAACACCTGGCCCCAAGGGATCCTCCCTCCTCTGCCTCCCAAAGTTCTGGAATTACAGGTAAGAGCCACACTCAATCCTTGCTTCCAAGGGTTTGGTTTTGTTTTGTTTTGTTTTGTTTTTTTTAAAAAAAGGGAGTTAGGAGAACATCAGCAGAGAGGAGAGTGTGGCTGAAATGTAAGATGGCAGGTTTAGAGGATTTTGCATGCCTGATGGGAGAACTGAGCTGTTTTTCCCTGGGGAAATGGGGAACCAAGGATAGTGTGTGAGTAGGGGAGGGGTTCAGATCTGAGTATCAGAAATTTCTCCCCCCCCTTTTTTTTTGTTCTAACAACAGAGGGTTGGGCGCGGTGGCTCACGCCTGTAATCCCAACATTTTGGGAGGCCGAGGCGGACAGATCACCTGAGGTCAGGAGTTCGAGACCAGCCTGGCTAACATGGTGAAACCCCGTCTCTACTAAAAATACAAAAATTAGCGGGCATGGTGGCGGGCGCCTGCCATCCCAGCTACTCGGGAGGCTGAGGCAGGAGAATCGCTTGAACACAGGTTCAAAGATGTGGAGGTTGCAGTGAGCCAAGACCGTGCCATTGCACTCCTGCTTGAGTGACCGGGCAAGACTGCGTGTCAAACAAAACAAAACTAAAAAAACAAACAAAAAAACAGAGGAAAATTCTTCTAAGTCCCGAAATGGGGGCAAGCTTGCAATCCATGAGTTTTACGGATTGAGAAAGCCCAGAGAGGCGCAGGGACCACCCCAAGGATACCCAGCGAGCTTGAACTCAGGCCTCCTCGGCTTCCTGCCAAGAGGCGGAGACTCGGCTGCGGCCAAGACAAGCTGTCAGACAGCTGTGTGCCATCTGCCCAGCTCCCGCTGCGGGTGGGAAGATCCACCAGCCGCTTCCTGCGGCTGCCGCCAGCTGCGCCCAGCCACTGCGGAGCACCCTCTGCCGGTCAACAGGAGAGAAAACTACAACTCCCAGCAGACCCCGGGAGATAATGTCTTGTGCGCACGCGCATGCTGGAAAGGCGCCGTTCGCCTGCTACCTGTTGTTTTATGTGAAGAACTACACTGACCCGCGGATACAGATTGGAGCTTCAGGGTTTTCCCCAACGGCCATGTTTTTTCCATGTTAGGAGAAACTACATTTCCCATAATCCTTTCTTCCAGGGTTGCGGCGCCTCTAGGCTCCGGAATCGCTGGCGGCTGGGACTGCGGGACCTACAGCCGACATGGCTCTCTTCGCTGGATCGGTGTTGGGCCCCGCGTGTAGATCGACAGCGTTGCTGGGCGGCAGGTAAGTCCTCAGGGGGACCCTTCCCCAAATCTGGGGATAAGGGCGGCGTCTGAGGCTGGCGCCACTGTTTACTGCCCGCACGACCTGCCCGTGCTTTGCGCATTTATGGAGCGCCTGTTGCAGCCAGGCTCTGTCCGCGGGAGCCGAGGCTCAGACACTGAGCGCCGAGGTCACCCAGCGCCCGGTCTGACCTTTCTCTTCGTCTTTCTACCCACGCAGGTGGCTTCAACCCCGGGCCTGGCTGGGATGCCCGGACGCCTGGGGCCTCCCCACCCCGCAGCAGGCCCGGGGCAAGGCTCGCGGTAACGAATATCAGCCGAGCAATATCAAACGCAAGCACAAGCACGGCTGGATCCGGCGCCTGAGCACGCCGGCCGGCGTCCAGGTCATCCTTCGTCGAATGCTCAAGGGCCGTAAGTCGCTGAGCCACTGAGGATCGCGACGCTGCTGGCCGGACCCCCGTGAAAGCATCGCCTCGCCTTGGACCTTGCCTGGCGCTGTTTTTGCAGGGAGCTGGGGAGCAGGAACGCCTCGGACCTGAGTGTTCTTCGTATTGTGGCGTTAAAGTCTGGATGGGAACTTGCCAAATCCCTTTTTAGGCTTTTGAATTAGGAAGAATGTCGAACCTGCGCAACAGACCGCAGGACAGTACAACGAACCGCCGTGTACCCAGTACACAGCTCTGACCACCAACTACCTACAACCCATCCCTGCCCCAGCCTAGATTCTTTTCCAGTGTATCTCAGTCATCAGATTATTTCTTCTGTAAATATTCCAGAATGGATCTCTCCACGATAAGAGCTCATGAAAACGTAATTACAAAGCTTATTACATCCAAAAGAATTATCAATAATTTTGAAATATTATTAAATGTGTAATAAATGTTCAAAGTTTCACTTGTCTTTATTATTATTTTATTTTTATTTTTTTTTAGGGTTAGGGTTCCGGACTACGGATTAGGGATTAGGGGTTAGGGTTAGGGTAGTTTTACTTGCCTTTTTCTTTTTTTTTTTTTTTTGAACACCTGTTTGTTAACCACTTGTCTTACATGTGTTATAACTCTTTTTTTTTTTTTTTTCCTTTTTTAGATCAAGTCTTGCTCTGTCGCCCAGGCTGGAGTGCAGTGGCATGATCTTGGCTTACTGCAACCTCCAACTCCTGGGTTCAAAGGATTCTCCTGCCTCAGCCTCCTGAGTAGCTGAGACTACAGGTGCCCACCACCACACCCAGCTAATTTTTTTTTTTTTTTTTTTTTTGAGGTGGAGTGTCACTCTGTCATCAGGCTGGAGTGCAGTGGCGTGATCTCAGCTCACTGCAACCTCTGCCTCCTGGGTTCAAGCGATTCTCCTGCTTCATGTTCCTGAGTAGCTGGGACTACAGCTTCGTACTACCACACCCAGCTAATTTTTGTATTTTTTTTTTTTTTTTTAGTAGATATGGGATTTCACCCAGGATGGTCTCCATCTCTTGACTCATGATCCGCCTGCCTCGCCCTCCCAAAGTGCTGGGATTACAGGCATGAACCACCACACCCGGCTAATTTTTGTATTTTTAGTAGAGACCGGGTTTCGCCATGTTAGCCAGGCTGGTCTTGAACTGCAGCTGTTAAGGAGTTTGAATTTTCCACCTGCCCTTGGGGAGGTGTGATTTTGAGGAAGGACCCTGCTCTGTGAGGCACATTTGTTGCCTATAAAATACAGCGCTCCTTTCTCCTCTGCTCTGTTGCTGTTAGAGTAATAATACTTAGTAGCTTCCAGTTAGCAACTTAATTTTTTTTTGAGACAGAGTCTTTCTCTGTTGCCCAGGCTGAAGTGCAATGGCACCGTCTCAGCCCACTGCAACCTCCGCCTCCTGGGTTCAAGCGATTCTCCTGTCTTAGCCTCCCAAGAAGCGGGGAATACAGGTGACTGCCTCCACGCCCAGCTAATTTTTGTATTTTTAGTAGAGATGGGAGTTTATCATGTTGGCCAGGCTGGTCTTGAACTCCTGACCTTATGATCCTCCTGCCTCCGCCTCCCAAAGTGCTGGGATTACAGGTGCAAGACATTGTGCCTGGCCCATTTAGCAATTTCACTGTGCAATTGCTATGTGCTGGGTGCTCAGTCTTTGCTGTGGAAGTGAGGGAGGCAGTTTGGACACAGCAGTGTCAGGGCTGGGAGAGGGGTTGTGAGGGCTGTAGGAGCTCAGTGAAGGTATCTGACTTGCCTTTTTTTGTTGTTGTTTTTTTAATCTGACCCCAATCTGCCGGAACTGACTTGCCTTTTTTGAAGAATGCAGTCAGGGAAGTCTTCTTGGAGGAAATCAAGGTCTGGGAGGGCCCAGACGTAGGAGTGATTGGTTAGAGGTGAGGACACAGGTGGGTGATGAAGGCCGCAGGGGCCCATAAATGGGGCCAATGAGGTAGGATTGAATACTAGGGAGCTACGGGGGGTGTTTGAGCAAGAGGGTCTTGAGGAGGAGATAGGGAGTTAATGATTCTCCTAGGGCTTTTTTAAAAACATGATTAACACAAGATGATTCGGGCATGATGGCTCCCAGAACTTTGGGGGGCTGAGTCTGGAGGATTCCTTGAGGCCAGAAGTTTGAGACCAGCTTGGGAAACATAGTGAGGCCGCCCCACCCACGCCATATCTTAAAAACACACAGATGGCCGGGCATGGTGGCTTACACCAGCGCTTTGGGAGGCCGAAGCAGGTGGATGATGAGGTCAGGAGTTCCAGAGTAGCCTGGCCAGCATGGTGAAACCCCATCTCTACTAAAAATACAAAATTTAGCTGGGCGTTGTGGCAGGCGCCTGTAATCTCAGCTACTTGGAAGGCTGAGGCAGGAGAATCGTTTCAACCTGGGAGACGGAGGTACCGCGCCTTTGCACTCGAGTCTGGGCAACAGAGTAAGACTCTGTCTCAAAAAAAAAAAAAAAAAAAAGAAAAAGAAAAAAACAAAAAACCACAAACCAGACACGGGTGGGCGCGGTAGTCCACGCCTATAATCCCAGCACTTTGGGAGGCCAAGGTGGGTGGTTCATCTGAGGTCCGGAGTTCGAGACCAGCCTGGCCAACATGATGAAACTCCGTCTCTACTAAAAATACAAAAATTAGCTGGGCGTGGTGACGCACATCTGTAATTCCAGCTATTCGGGAGGGTGAGGCAGCACAATCGCTTGAACTTGGGAGGCGAAGGTTGCAGTGAGCCGAGATGGCGCAAGTGCACTCCAGCCTGAGAGACGGAGTGAGACTCTGTCTCAAAAACAAAATAATTAATAATAAAAATAAAAAATAAGATAAGAACAAAGAACAAATATATATTTAAAAACACGCAGAGCCACACAAAAGCCCTAGGGAGACTCTTGTAGATGTAAACTACAACTCCCAATAGATTTCGCGGCCGGTGGCTCCGCCCACTTCCGGATCTCACCTTTCATTGCTTCCAAGTCCCGGGCGGGGCTTTGCTTCTTCAATCGAACTTGATCACAAAGGGAGGAGGCGTGGCAGCCAATGGACGCATGAATTAGCTGGATGATGCCAATGGGAGCGAGCAAAGCTCTCACATAAAGGGCGGGGCTAGAGTGCAGACCAATGACGGGGCGCGGTGGCGCCATCAGTGTGGGCTGTGCCGAGGCTGGAAGTTACTGTGAGGCGGCGGCTAAGAAGGCGGCTGTGGTGGCGGCGGTGGAGGCTGAGGCGGCGGCCGAGGCGGCTACGGAAGAAACAGAAGATGGTGAGGATGGCCTTCAGGCCTTTACTCCCCCTCCGCTAGACAAAATGGCGCCTTGGTCCCACCCACCTCCGGTATCCCCCTAGACCCCGCTCCGCCCTGCCCGGCCTCCTCGGCCCCGCTCCCGCCCCTCACACTCAGCTGTGACCTTCGACCCCCATACCCTACCAAGAGCTTCCTGCCGATCCCACCACCACTCCTTCTCCGACCCCTGACCTCATCTAGGATACCAGGCCTTGACAACTCATTCATTTCCGGGTTACGGCTCCTCCCCCTCCCCCCCGGAAATCGTCTGGGGTGGGGTTGGGGTCGCGTAAGACCCCCTGGTCTGGCCTTGGCCTCGGCGGGCCGGGCCTGGATGTCTTCAGTTCAGGATAATTAGGTAGCCAGCCTGGGCCGCGGGGCGGGGGAGGGGGCTTGGCGCGGCGACATGCAGGGCTTTGTCGCCAAAGGAAGTGCGACATCGCCGACTGTCCCGGTCCCCCGGGTCCTGACCCCACCTCCGCTATTCTGGGCCCTTACCTGCCCCTGAGAATGAACAGCTTTATCTCTCCGGTCCGAACGGGGTTGCCCCTGTCAAATGACAGTAGCGGTAGTCTGAACCTCATAGGATGGTGACAATTTAGGCAACTGACGTCGTAAAGGACCCAGGACAGTGAATGCTCAGCAGATGAGCTGGGCGACTCGAGGCCAGTGACATTCTCTTCTAGCTGTTCCCTTATCATGAAGTGTGGATCGTCCCCACCTGACTTGGAAGGCTGAAATTCCTTCAGAGGTCCTCAGTCTTCCTGGGATTTGGGTCTGGTGGTTCTTTGGGGTTCGGTCTCCTCACCTGAAAAGTGGGATGGTATTCCACCCTCAGAGGGGAGCTAAAGCCACTCCTCAACCCCCACTAGTTGGCATCCTCAGGGCTGGGAAGGGTGATGGGAAGTTTGGGCAAGGAAAGTCAAGACCCCTTTGCCCCCTGACCCAGAGTCCCAGCCCACAATCCACAGTCCTTGGGATGTGGTCGGGATGAAAGGAAGAGTCCCTTTCAGGAAGGAAATGGGAGGGTGCATTTCTAGTGTGCAGGTCCCCAAGCCTGGGCGTTGTCCTTGATGCCTTGGTACGCTCTCATATCTGCAGCCAGTCATAAGTGAATTTGATTAGCTCTGTCTTCAGAACACACCTGAATCCCTCCATGGCTTCACACTCTAGTGCAGGTACTGCCACCTCCCACCTGGGTACCTGCCTCAGCCTCCTCCCTGGTCTCCTAGCCTTGATCCCACTCCTTTGACAGTTCATAATTCACCTGAACCAGAAGGAGTTGTTCTTTGGAGGCGGGGTCTCCCTCTGCCGCCCAGGCTGGAGTGCAGTGGAGCGATCACAGCTCACTGCAGTCTCCACTTCCCAGGCTCAAGAGATCCTTCCACCTCAGCCTCCCGAGTAGCTGGGACCACAGGCACATGCCACCATACTCTGCTCATTTTTGTACTTTTTGGAGAGATGGGGTCTCCATATGTTGCCCAGGCTGGTCTCTAACTCTTGGGTTCAAGCGATTCTCCTGCCTCAGCCTCTGAAAGTGATGGGATTACAGGCGTCAGCCACTACCCAGGGCCTCAGAAGGAGCTTTTAAAGATGTGCATCAAGTGATACTACATTCTTTCTTTCTTTCTTTCTTTTTTTTTTTTGAGATGGAGTTTCACTCTTGTTGCCCAGGCTGGAGTGCAATGGCGCAATCTCGGCTCACTGCAACCTCCGCCTTCCGAATTCAAGTGATTCTTCTGCCTCAGCCTCCTGAGTAGCTGAGATTACAGGCATGCGCCACCACACCTGGCTAATTTTTGCATTTTTAGTAGAGATGGGGTTTCTCCATGTTGGTTAGGCTGCTCTCAAACTCCTGACCTTAGGTGAACCATGTGCCTTGGCCTCCTAAAGTACTGGGATTACAGGCATGAGCCACTGCGCCTGACCCAAATGATACTGCCTATAAAATACTCTGGGGCTTCCTGTTGTAACCCGGATGACCCTGGCTGTCCTTCTCACCCTGAGGCCCCTGGCTACCTTTATGACTTCATCTCCACTCTGTGAGCTTCAGCCACTCCCACCCTGGCCTTGTTTTCACTTCCTCACACTCCAGGTTCCTGCCACCCCAGTGCCTTTGCACCTGATGCTCTTTCTGCTCAGAGCACTCTTCCTTCTGTGATCGAGGCCCTTCCTGACTTTGGGAGGCCCCACGTCTCTTTGCTGTCAGCACAGTGCTTCTCTTCCTCATCTCTTTGTTGGGTCCCTGGCAGGCTACCTGCAGTGGGACTTTGTCAGTGCGTGTCTGCTGAGGCAGTGGATGGCTGCAGGGCCCAGCTGTGGCTGGCATTTGTCTGGCTGAGATGAGGGTTCCCCCGTCCCCTGACTCCCATGTCTCGAGGCCTTGTTTTCCAGCTTAGCAAGGGTGGGAAGGCTGAACGTGCCCCGCCTTCATTCATTTGTTCAGCACAGACATGTTGATCCTAGAGACTGCCCTTGAGGGAGCTCCAGGCAAAGCCTTCCCCTTGTTGTCTTATGACTCAGAGTAACCCTGAGAGGTAGCCCTGTTGGAATGCCTCCCTTCACAGGGAGGCCCAGAGGATGGGAGGTCACTCATCCCAGGTCACAGCCAGGGATGGGCTGAGCCAAGACTGAGAGCAGAACACCCAGATGCCTGCACCTCTTGCCACTTAGCCTCCAGGCCCCAGGCAAACCCTGCCAGGGTTGAGTCAACCTTCTGTCCCCAGGGTGGTACTAGTCCAGCCAGGGAGGTGGGTGTATAAACAGATGACCTCGCCAGGGTGTGATGGAGGCTCTGGGAGAGGCTCTCGAAGTGCTGGGGGAGCAGAAGGGCAAGGAATGGGTTGGAGCTGGTGGGGAGGTTAGCAGGTATTTGCCATATGGAGACATGAGGGGCATTGCTAGAGGGTATGTGTGACAGAGGTTGTGGGTAACGAGAGCCCAGCAGGGGCAAGCTGGGCCAGGGCTGTGAAGGGGGACAGGGCCCCCCCTCACGCTTCAGGTCTCAGTGCCTGCATCCCTGCATCTGGGCAGCCCTCCCTAATGCCCCGAATGGACCAGAGCTCTGCCCAGTGCCCTTGAGGCACCCTGTCCCGCAGCCACTTCCCACGCACTGTGCAGCTCTGTGCCCCACACCATCCCAAGGCCAGGCGCAGCTCCATGGTGGCTCAGTCCAGTGCCCTGGTGCCTGGTAGGGCTCCAGAAGACCTTGCAGAATGAATGAAGCTGGACTCAGAGCCGGGGACTGAGCTCAGGCTGACATCTTAGGATGGGAGGGGAAGCAGATTTGAGGGACTTTGAGCTGGTCCTGGGGCAGTAGGTCATCCAAATGTGAGGACTGTCTCCAGGTGGGAGGGGGAGGCCCACCCAGGCGCATTCCAGCTTCCTGAGAGGGACCAGCAGAGGTCCCTCTTTCTGCTCTTTACTGGTTGGATATCATAGCAACTGCTGCTCTCGCCTGTCCCAGAGGGTGGTGGGAAATTGTCTGAATGGCAGCTACTCCCAGGACAGCTCTTTTGGGCCTCAGGAATCGAGGGATGGCCCTCTCTTCTAGCTCTGTAGCCTGCAGGGGCTCTAGTCTTTGATTTCAGGCATGTGATGAAGAGAAGGAGGTTGGCTTCCAAGGCTGGGCACACATGGGTTCGAGTCAGCCCCCTGGTTTTCTGGCTGAGACTGGGTGACCTCTCTGCCTTTGTGTCCTTGCCTTTGATAGGGAGACACTACCCACCGGCTCTTTGGGTCAGGAGATCATACATAGTGAACTCAGGAGGGCCCCTTTCAGGACAGGCCATATGAGGAGGCCTGCAGCAGGCAGCCCCGCCACTGTCCGACTCCAGGCCTCACTGACTGGTTGAAAAGGGCTTTTTTTGTTTTCTTCTTCTTTTTTTTTTTTTTTGAGACAGAGTCTGGTTCTGTTGCCCAGGCTGGAGTGCAGTGGCATAATCTCAGCTCGCTGCAACCTCTGCCTCCCAGGATCAAGCCATTCTCCTGCCTCAGCCTCCCAAATAGCTGGAATTACGGGTGCCTGCCACCACACGTGGCTAATTTTTGTGTTTTTGGTAGAGACAGGGTTTCACTGTGTTGGCCAGGCTGGTATTGAACTCCTGAGGTCAGGTGATCTGCCCACCTTGGCCTCCCAATGTGCTGGGATTACAGGCGTGAGCCACTGTGCCCAGCCGAAAAGGGCTTGTGAAGAGTGAATGGATTCTGTTGTTGCTGTTCTGAAGCCACTTGGACCTGAACACTTAGGTGGCCAAGTCCCCTGCCCCGGAAACCAGCGATAGGGAGAGGACATCCTGCTTCTCTCAGGCTGTGGTCCTCTCCCCGTAAGGGGCCCAGGTTCCGTGCCGTGGACAGGGCATTCTCCCCTCACAGGGCAGGTTCAGACCTTTTGGCCAGCTTTGGGGTATGGGGACCCCAGGAGCAGCCCTGGAACTGACCAGTCCCAAACCCTGGTTACTTTAGTCCACACAGCGTTTTCTTTTATTGACTTTTTTTTTTTTTTGAGACAGAGTCTCGTTCTCTCCCCCAGGCTGGAGTGCAGTGGTGCAATCTCGGCTCACTGAAGCCTCTGCTTCTCAGGTTCAAGCGAGTCTCCTGCCTCAGCCTCCCAAGTAGCTGAGATTACAGGTGTGTGCCACCACACCTGGCTAATTTTTGTATTTTTAGTAGAGATGGGGTTTCACCATGTTGGCCAGGCTGGTCTTGAACTCCTGGCCTCATGTGATCTGCCTCCCTCAGCCTCCCAAATTGCTGAGATTACAGGCATGAGCCACTGTGCCCGGCCTCACACAGCATTTTATAAAAAGTTAGCTCTAAGGGACTGGATGTGGTGGCTCACACCACACTCAGCTACTTGGGAGGCTGAGGCACGAGAATTACTTGAACCTAGGAGGTGGAGGTTGCAGTGAGCCGAGATCACACCACTGCATTCCAGCTTGGGCAACAGAGTGAGACTCCATCATAAAAATTAAAAAGCCAGCTTTAAAAACCTGGAGAGAGGCCAGGCGTGCTGGCTTACGCCTGTAATCCCAGCATTTTCGGAGGTCGAGTCGGGTGGATCACTTGAAGTCAGGAGTTTGAGACTTGGCCAACATGGTGAAACCCCATCTCTACTAAAATACAAAAACAAAGTTAGCTGGGCATGGTGGCAGGCATCTGTAATCGTAGCTACTGGGGAGGCTGAGGCAGGAGAATCACTTGAACCTGGGAGGCGGAGGTTGCAGTGAGGAACAAAAAACCTGGAGAACAGATTCAAATGCAGATTTCTGGGTTTGATCAGATGTAGGAAGCTTGGGAAACCCTGAGCTCCTGTTCCTGTGTAGCTGAGACTCCCATAGACCAGGCCCCTGCTCCCTGAGCTCCGTTTATCGTGACACTGTCGCATGGGTTTCTTGGGATGGAGTAGTCTCTGTCCTAGGACCCTGTCAAAGGTGGATTGGTGGAAACCAGCCCTAGGAGTTTAATGTGTTACTGAGCACAGCTGCACCCAGGGGGCCGCGGCCACCCCTTCTTTGTGGGCTGTTGGGAGGGCCCAGGTCTGACTGTCCACCCTGCTGCTTACTCGCTGCGGTGTGACTTTTTTTGTTGTTTTTTGAGACGGAAGCTCACTCTGTCGCCCAAGCTGGAGTGCAATGGCATGATCTCGGCTCACTGTAACTTCTGCCTCCTGGGTTCCAGCGATTCTCCAGCCTCAGCCTTCTATGTAGCTGGTATTACAGGCGTGCACCACCACGCCTGGCTAATTTTTCTGTTTTTAGTAGAGATGGGGTTTTGCCATATTGGCTAGGCTGGTCTTGAACTCCTGATTTCAGGTGAACTGTCCACCTTGGCTTCCCGAAGGGCTGGGATTATAGGCCTGAGCTCGCTGCAGTATGACTTTTAACCAGTGGCCTGTTCTCTTGCAGCCTCAATTTCCCCACCTCTTACCTAGTTAGGGGGCTGTCATGAGAACCCCCCCGGAGGACGTGCACTTAGCCTGGCTTGGTTACTTTTCTCTGGTTCCGGCAGTGTATCCAGCAGCCAGCTCAAGGGTGTGTTCTGGAAAACTTGAACTACAAAGAACAGTGGGAAGAAGGAACCCAGCAGTCACCCCGCAGGTGCTCCAGGGATGCCGGCACGTTGCCTGGTTTCTCATGTACCGTCTTCCGTGTCTTCTAGGCAGATTTTTTGAAAGGACTGCCTGTCTACAACAAAAGCAATTTTAGTCGATTTCATGCGGACTCCGTGTGCAAAGCCTCGGTGAGTGCCTGTTCCTGGGGCTGGGAGGGATTGGGACGCTTCCGGGGGCCTGGGGGCAGCTTGTGTTCTCCGATTGGGATCTTGGCCGGAACAGAGGCCGAAATTCAAGCCCACCCCATCCACATTCTTGACTGTCTTCCGATGTGCACTGAAGGGTGGATGCCAAGTCGAGGGAGGAGACCCCAGGCCCGTGTGCTTCTCCTAACCCATCCCTTCCCAACCCTCCTGCAGAACCGACGGCCCTCAGTCTACCTGCCCACCCGAGAGTACCCGTCTGAACAGAGTAAGTGGCCACTGTCAGTCTGTCCCATTCTGGCTGCTGAGGATCGGGGTTCGGTGACCGCAGCATGGCACGGAGAGGTTATCTTCAGTCCCCACCCAGGTCACACACTCGGCTTAGGTTTACATGCTGGCTGCTGAGTCCGGTTGGGTCGGGGAGGGTTTCCGGGGAGGTGCAGGAGGGACCGCGGGGGCCCCAGCCTGGGGACGCACACGTGGATGCCTGTCCGCTCCCAGCCTCTGGGGATCGCCGGAAACCTGGCTTTGCCTGGACATCTCCTGACTGGGACACACTGGGATCCATAGCCGGCCCAAAGTGGCCTGCAACTTGTCCCTTGTCTGCTGCTCACTGGCCCTTTCCCCTCCCTGTCAAATGAGGTCGGGCGAGAACTCTGATCCCACAACAAGTAGTAGCGGGCAGGGAGGCCGCAGAGGGCTACAGCGGCCTGGGCTGGGGATCCAGCCAAGCCTGGGTGGCAGTGAGGGGAAGGGGTCCAGGTGGAGGGGCCCATGGTGCAGGAGGACTTGGTCCTGCTGTCTTAGTTTAAATGTTCAAAAAGGCTCCACACCAGGCGGGTGGCTCCCGCCTATGACCTCAGCATTTTGGGAGGCCAAAGCAGTAGGATTGCTTGAAGCCAGGTGTTCAAGACCAGCCTGAGCAACATAGTGAGAACCTGTTTCCACCAAAAAGCATATATATGTATATATATATATACACACATATGCATATATATACACATACTCATATATGTATACACATACATATATATATATATGTTAGCTGGGCATGGTGGCATGTGTGTATAGTGCCAGCTACTTGGGAGGCTGAGGCAAGAGGATCACTTGAGCCCAGGAGCTCCAGGCTGCAGTGAGCTATGATTACTTCAGTCGGGGTGACCGAGTGAGACCCTGCTCTGAAAGCATTTATCAGAGCCTGCGGGGTAGGGCTGTGTGGTCTCTGGGTACAGTGACGCAACATGTGCTCCTAGTCTGCTGGGAGAAACACAGGCATGAGAGTGTCAGTGCTGGCGCTTGGAATCCCTTGCACAGGGAGCAGGGGCCCTGCAGGCTGCTGGCTCAGGCCTCTGGGAGTGGCTGTATGTGTTCAGAAGCAAAAACATGGGGCATTTGGAGATCTCTGGAGTCAGGGGTATTGAATTCCAGCCCCAGAATGACCTCCTAAGGGCAGAGTCAGGTGAGGAGCCCAGGGAGGGGAGGTGTCTGCAACTTTCTCTGTCTTTCCTCCTTAGTCATCGTGACAGAAAAGACAAACATCCTTCTGCGCTACCTGCATCAGCAATGGGACAAAAAGGTGAGGCCTGCAGGGCTCTGGTGCTGGGATTTTGGGTGGACAGAGGCAAGGCACCTGGCAGGGGCTGTGGGCACAGGAAGGACTCTAGTGACTGGAGCAGGGCCTTGAGGGCTGGGTAGGAGGGCCCCCGGTGATCCAGGAGAAGGAAGAGCGTTCCAGTGGCAGGAACCGCTGTGTAGAGGCCACAGGACACCGGTGCTCAGGAGGCTGGACACCAAAGCCTCAGGCTTCCCCTGGCCCTGGCGTTAGGTAGACTATATTGGTAAGAACTAGATAGAATCTGTTCTGATGGTGAAACCTGTACACGTGATTAAAAATCTAGGCGACTTAGGGCTGGGCGAGGTGGTTCATGCCTGTAATCCCAGCACTTTGGGAGGCTGAGGCAGGTGGATTACCCGAGGTCAGGAGTTTGAAACCAGCCTGACCAACATGGTAAAACGCCGTGTCTACTAAAAATTTAAAAATTAGCCAGGCGTGGTGGAGCACACCTGTAATCCCAGTCACTTGGGAGACTGAGGCAGGAGAATTGCTTGAACTTGGGAGGCGGAGGTTGCGGTGAGCCAAGGTCACACCATTGCACTCCAGCCTGGGCGACGAGAGTGAAACTCCATCTAAAAAAAAAAAAAAAAAAAAAAATCTAGGCAACAGGAGTGGGTGTGGCTGGGTGTGGTGATTCACGCCCATAACTGCTTGAGAGGCTGAGGCGAGAGGATGGCATGAGACCAGGAGTTCGAGACCAGCCTAGGCAACATAGCAAAACCCTGTCACTAAAAATTACAAGAATTAAAAAATTAGCCAGCCGTAGAGGCATGTTACTGTAATCTCAGCTACTGAGGAGGGTGAGGCAGGAGGATTGCTTGAGCCCAGGAGGTCGAGACTGCAGTGAGCTGTGATCGTGCCATTGCACTTCCAGCCCGGGCAACAGAGCCAGACCGTGTCTTTAAAAAATACCAGTTAAAAATGAGAGGGTGGGGCCGGTCGCGGTGGCTCACGCCTGTAATCCCAGCACTTTGGGAGGCCGAGGCGGGTAGATCACGAGGTCGAGAGATCCAGACCATCCTGGTCAACATGGTGAAACCCCGTCTCTACTAAAAATACAAAAAATCAGCCGGGCGTGGTGGCGCGTGCCTGTAATCGCAGCTACTCAGGAGGCTGAGGCAGGAGAATTGCCTGAACCCAGGAGGCGGAGGTTGCGGTGAGCCGAGATCGCGCCATTGCACTCCAGCCTGGGTAACGAGCGAAACTCTGTCTCAAAAAAAAAAATGAGAGGGTGTAGTTGCAGTCAAGAGGCATCTTTCCCCACCTCTGGTGCCCCAGCTCCCTTCCCAGAGGCTTCCTCTGCACATGGGACATTTTTTTCTCCTTTTTCTTTTCCTTTTTTTTTTTTTTTTTTTTTTTTTGAGATGGGGGGTCTCATTCTGTTGCCCAGGCTGGAGTACGGTGGCGTGATCTCGGCTCACTGCAACCTCCTCCTCTCAGGCTCAAACCATTCTCCCGCCTCAGTCTCGCAAGTAGCTGGGATTACAGGCATGTACTACCATGTATTTGTATTTTAGGAGTTTCACCACGTTGCCTAAGCTGGTCTTTTTTTGTTGTTTTAACAGAGTCTCATGCTTTCGCCCAGGCTGGAGTGCAGTGACGCTCTCTCGGCTCACGACAACCTCCGCCTCCCAGGTTCAAGCCATTCTCCTGTCTCAGCCTCCTGAGTAGCTGGGATTACAAGTGCACACCACCACGCCCAGCTAATTTTTGTATTGTTAGTAGAGACAGGGTTTCGCCATGTTGGCCAGGCTACTCTTGAACACCTGACCTCAAATGATCCATCTGTCTCGGCCTCCCAAAGTGCTGGGATTACAGGTGTGAGCTCCATGCTTGGCCTTTTTTTTTTCTTAATGAAAAATCTCTCCCTGTTGTTCTGCAATGTGGTCAGTTTGATTTTTTTCTAACATTGAACAGTGGATGGCAACCTGCCCTGGACAAAGTTGGAAGGTGGGGGGACTCTGTGACAAAGTGACAGCTTCTGAAAATCCAAGTTGCTGGGCCCAGCCCCGCCCCTTCTGCCCCCAAGGCCTTGGTTCCCACAGTGGGGAAGGAGACGTGTGCTTCTCTTCTTTGGCGTCAATGTGCGGTATCCCCATTGGCTTCCAAAGGGCCTTTGTCCCCAGGCTGGGTGGATTGTGCCTCTTGAGTGCTTGAGAAACCAGCCCTGTGTGGGTCATTGAAAGCGGTGGTGGTGACTCCTCCAGGTGCACAGGAAACACCTGTCTATCACCAGCCTTGGGCCCAGGATGTGCCCCGGGCAGGGCTTAGCAGGGCAGGTCCTGGTGGTAGGAGGGGCTGTCCAGCCAGGTACCTTGGGCCACCCTACTGCCCTCCAGGCCTGCCTCTGTGATGCTGCTGCAGGGGGCCTGGGCTGGCATTAGGACTCTGGGAGCTTCACCCCCATGAAGACTTGCATCTTCAGGCTGGGCAACACAGTGAGACCCCCATCTCTACCGAAAATAGAAATATTAAGCATGGCGGTGTGTGCCTGTAGCCCCAGCTACTCCGGAGGCTGAGCTGGGAGGATCGCTTGAACCAGAAGGCTGAGACTACAGTGAGCTATGACTGTACCACTGCACTCCAGCCTAGGCAACAGAGTGAGATCCTGTCCAAAAGAAGAGACTCACAGCCCCTGTCTTTCCCCCGTCCCCAGAACGCTGCCAAGAAGAGAGACCAGGAGCAAGTGGAGCTGGAAGGCGAGAGCTCGGCGCCCCCCCGCAAGGTGGCGCGGACCGACAGCCCAGACATGCATGAGGACACTTAAGACTCTCGCTCCCGACAGGCGCCTCCTGCCGTGTCTGCTCCTCGGTCACCCACCCGCCCGCCCACCATGTGTAAGCACCCTGCCCGCCCGCCTGCCCATCCACACCCTGCGTCACACCTCCAACCTCATAGGAGCCGATGTATTTATTTTCCTTGAGTTTTTATTTATGCTGTAACCTGTATCAAGCGTTGGTTAAAGGGGACATCAGACCCAGTAGTGTGATGTTGGTAGATGCTTTTTAAAAAAAAAAAAACAACATTGTCCCCCTGACCCCCGCCTTCCACCTGGCCAGTTCCCCGACTCCCACCCCCAGTTCTCCTCCAGAGAACCAGAGCGTGTTTGTGAGGGTCTCTAGCGGGGGCTTCACTGTGGCTGGGCAGCAGGGACGGGCCCGGGGTGGCCGGACCCATCAGGACAGCTGAGCAGCCTTCTCTCCCCCAACACCGGTCCAGGCCCTTGAGCCTCGGTCTTGTCCCGCGTTCCGCCCAGAACTCTCCCATGCCCAGACCTCACTCTGAGCGTGTGCGCATATCGGGGAGAAGTTGGCCCTGGGGATCTTTCTCTTGAGTCATTTTATCATGGACTAGTGAGTGCTCCGTGTCCACCCCAATAAAAGGGTCTTTCCTACTTGACCTCGCGTCTTTGCTCCACACACCTTGACCGCAGAGGATGGAGCCTCTGGGAGTCATCTCTGTTGTCACCAAGAGGAATGAGAAGGGCCTCCCACGCCAGGGGCCCCAGCACCAGCTGGATTCTCTCATGGGCTTGCTGAGGCCATCATGCTCAAGGCCAAGACCTGCCTGGACCATCCCCTCTGCCTCTCCTGCCAAGGTGACCCTGAGGACAGGTCATTCCTGAGACGGTCCGTAGTGCTGAGGATGGAGCAGGGTCGGCCTTCTGCCTGGGATACCGCCGAGCAGGGCAGCATGCCTGTCAGCTACCGCAGAGACGGCCAGCCTCACCTGGGGGCCTGGGGTCTAGGGCCTCTGCCACTCCTCTGAGGCACAGTGACAGCGCAGATGGCATCTGGCCGGTGTTGCTGGCCTGGGCGGTGGCCTCACCCTACTGGGTCATAGAGGAGCTGCACGGAACCTTGGGCGGTTGGCATGTGCCATGGCTGCTCATGGGCCCTCCTCCGCCAGCAGGGCTGGCTTTTGGGCTGAGCTTGGGTATGTAAGGGGTGTTCAGGCTCTGGGCAGAAGGTTTGTGGCCCTGACCTCTAAGCCTAGGGCTGGGGGAACACCACTTCTCCCCTAATTGCCCCCACTTGGGTGGGGTCTCAGTTTTCCTTTGTTTGTTTTTTGTTTCTTTCAAGATAGGGTCTCACCCTGTTGCCCAGGCTGGAGCGCAGTGGTGCGATCACAGCTCACTGCAGCCTGCACCTCGAACATTCCTCCCACCTCGGCCTCCCAAGTAGCTGGGACCACAGGCGCATGCCACCATGAGTGGCTGTTGTTTTTTTTTTTGAGATGGAGTCTTGCTCTGTCGCCTAGGTTAGAGTGCAGTGGCAAGATCTGGGCTCACTGCAACCTCCACCTCTCACGTTCAAGTGATTCTCCTACCTCAGCCTCCCAAGTAGCTGGGATTACAGGTGCCCACCACCACACCCAGCTAATTTTGCTATTTTTAGTAGAGACAGGGTTTTGCCATGTGAGCCAGGCTGGTCTCAAACTCCTGACCTCAGGTGATCTGCCCACCTCGGCCTCCCAAAGTGCTGGGACCGAGCGCTGCCTGGCTAGTTTTTAAAAAGTGTTTTTGTAGAGGTGGGGTTTTGCCATGTTGCCCAGGCTGGTCTCAAACTCCTGGGCTCAAGCCATCTGCCTTCCTTAGCCTCCCAAAGTACTGGGGTTACAGGCGTGAGCCACTGTGCCTAGCAGAGATCTTGGTTTTGAGAGCTGAGTCTGAGGGCATTGGGATAGTGTGTGGGGTCGGGCCGTGGAGCTAGCAGAGACCCCGGGCTATGGAGGGTCTGCCTGCCCCAGATTCCACGGGAGGGCCCTGCCTGAGTCAGACCCTCTGGCCTGTGTGGCCCATCTCTCCCAAGGACAGATGGTGCCAGGAAGGGCTCTCGTCCTACACAAGGAGTGGCTGAGCCAGCCCCAGCCCAGCACGGCCTCCCACCTGTGCCTCTCAGCTCTCAGCAGTGTCTACACCACAGGGGTAGGGTACGTTCTCCTAGGGTCTGTGTGGTCACAGGGCAAGTGGTCAGGAAATGCACACTTGACTGTGGTCAGTGGTGCGGGTTGGGCTGAGCGCCCTGGAGGCTCTAGGCCAGGTGGGGAGTCCCAGTCCCCAGGGTTGGTGTGACCTGGGCAGGCCTGTAGTGTCCATCTGTGAGTGACTGAGATGGTGGGACTTCAGCTTCCAAGGCCAGGGGCCAGAGTGGGAGCAGGGGTTACCCCCGCCCTTCCCCTCAGCCTGTCTATACCTCTCCAGCCCCTGGTTTCCACTTTAAGTGGCTGGGGCCAATCTCCTGCCTGTGCTGTCTGCCCATGGCTCTGCAGGGCTCCCATGCGGGCACCTCCTTCCCTTCCCCTGCCTGTGCTCACTCAGATGGGGTCTCACAGCTGTACCCCAGCTCTGCCTCCCTGTGGCCTCCCACTAGAATCCCTGGGTCTGTCGGGACATGCCTTGTCTGGCACACACCCTCCGTGGCTCCCACTGCCTGTGGGAGGACACCGGGCCCCCGAGCCAGCCTCTGCCTACCCTTCCTTGTCTTTGGGGTCTCCCTCACCCCACTGTTCCCCCAAACTCTGTCTTCCACCTTCTCCGCCTTTGCACAGACTGTTCTGCCTCCAGTGAACTCTGACTTCCCCACAGACTCCTGGAGGGCCCCCTGCTCACACTGGCCCAGCCAGGCCCCTGGTCCAGCCCTGCAGTGCGGCCACGCGGGCCTGAGCCTTAAATTTTTGCATGTGGACACATTTGTCCTCTTCTTCCTGACAAACGGGAGGGTCTGAGAGGCCATGTGCCTGTTCCTGAGTCGTAAGACAGAGTCCCAGTGACTTGAGTCTGACATCCATCGTACAGTGGGACATTCCCACTTCGTCCCAATACCACCCTGTGTCTGTTCCGGGGACACCCAAGTGTGCCATTCCCTCAGTATCACAACGGGGACCGCAGGGGGCTCAGGTGCCAGGTGCCTTCCGATGTTCTGCCATAAGCTCTTCTCGCCAGCCCTTGGCTCCCCCCAGATGACGTTCTGGGAGGTGGGCGTGCCAGAAAAGGCGAGTCTTGCAAACGGCTGCCCTGTCCCTCTTTGAGAAGGAGGCTTATTCAGGACCTGGCCCGTGCACATATTACCGCCTCTTTTCAGCACTTTGAGATTTCTTCCTTTGTCTAGTGGCTGAAGCCAGAGCTGAAGTTGGCCTCCAAATCTGGGCCGTCTCAGAGGCGGCACAGCCTGGAGTTTTCCATCTGTGGCCGAGACCCAGTTTTTGGGAGGAGGCCCCCACGGGTCAAGCCAGCCTGTACCAGGATAGGGGGAGGGTGACGCCCAATCCAGGCCCCAGCCACTCAGACTCCCCCCACCCCCACTCCCTTTTCCACCGCTCTGACCTCGGGCACTGTTGAAATATACTTTTTATTGCATTTCTGCCGTTTTACAAAAATATGACAAAATAAATTAAAAACAAATAAATAATCGCCTATTCTGTATGTATGTGCATGTGTGTTTGTGTTTTCTGTTGGTTTTGTGGGTTTCCTTTCAATTCCCTCATCCTGGTCGAAAGGAAAACGGCAGATGGGGGGCACCGGCCAATACTGGGGCCGTGGGGGCTGAAGCGCATCTTGCATTTTGGGGGCCGGCTGCCCCTGTGAATGATTGATATTGCATATGAGAAGAGAAGGCGGGGCGGGCAGAGCTAATGCCAGCCGCTGGGCCAGCACACGGCCTGGGGACTGGGGCTGGGGCTGGGTGAGGGCGCCGGGGTCTCGGGGGGCTCCGAGGTGGGCGGCAGCGGTGGGGGCGGGAGGCTGTAAAAGCTGGCGTCCCCCGGCAGGGGCTGGGGGGCTGGTGGGGGCCCGGCCATGGCACAGGGCGGGCACTCAGCGGCGGCCAGGGCCTGGCGGGGGGCGGCGCCCTCGCCCCCGCAGCCCCAGGGCCCGTCCCACTGCCAGCAGCCGGCGGGCGGCGTCGGAGGCCGGGGCAGCGGCATTGGCGGCGGCGGCGCGGGGCTCCGGCTGCGGCAGGTACGGAGGGCAGGGGCGCCCACGGGGGCCAGCGCTGTCCCTGCGGAGGCGAGAGGGGCCGTTCCGGGGGGATGCCGCCCCCGCCGGACCCCGCCGGGCTGGCGACCCTGCCCACAGTCCCTCCCGGGCTTCCAGGCACGTAAAGGCCTTATTGCTTCTGATCTGAGACCGAGACGGGCGGCCCCCTGGGCGGCTTCCGGTGCATACCCTGCCTCTGGGCACGGCCCCTCCCAGTCACGGGGGGAGGACAGTTTGAGGAAGTCCCTCTGGCTTCTGACCTATGGCCCTTGTGCTGCAGCTGCTACCTGGTGGGCTCCTAGGGATGAGCTGCTGGAGCTCAGGCTGGGATTGGGGCAGGGGAGGTGGTGGGAGGGTAGGGGTGAGGCCTGCACCTCTGCTTCAGCACATGTGGGAGCTCCCTGGGTGGACAGCTCCAGCCCCACCTCCAAGGAAGGCCTTCCTGAACAGCTGGGCTGCAGGATGTGGATTTGCATAGAGGCCTGGGGGGGTCCAGTCGTCCCCCAGAGTGAGCTGGAGCAGGAGAAGGGCCAGCTGGATGGGAAACGGGCCTCCCTCATCTCTCCTGGCACCGGAGCATGGTGCGGGGGGGGGGTCCCTGGGTGCAGTCCTTGGACAAGGGGCTTTGGCATCCCTCCTTGGGAGGGTCAGGCACAGAGCTCCGGGCTAACAAAGGCCCTGGAGACACTAATCAGGCTTTCACTGACATGCTCTGTGTGCCACAGACCCGGGTCCCTGCCAGAACCCATGACCGGGCCTCCTCTGTCCCCTTCAGCCCCTCTCCCCAGGCCTGGCCACCCTACCCTACCCCCAAAGCCGGCCCGGCGTCCCCACCCCCGAGTTAAAGCTTGTGACCTGAGCCTTCCTCTTCGGGCCGGGGGGCTTCCAGCTCCTCAGCCATGGCCTCGTCCACCGGCCCACTCCTTTGAACCCGGCTGCTGCCACTGCTGGGGGTCCCGTCCGTCCGGGTCTGCCCGCCCGCCCCGTTGGACCCAGGCTCAGCCCGGGTGCCACCAAAGGGGAAGAGCTTGCTGGCGTGGAAGGCTTTGGGTGGTGAGTGGCTGCGCTCAGAGTCCCGCCGGGTCTCGGGAGACTTGAGGAACTTGAAGCTGAGGAAGGCGGGCAGGCGGGTGTCGCTGCCCGTGGGTGACTGGGCAGGGGGAGGCCGGGCGGTGGCCCCGGCCCCTGCAGCGGCCAGTGAGGATGTGGCCCCCGATGAGAGGAACTTGCCCTGCAGTGGGATGATCTGCTTCAACTTCATGACGTTGTTGGGCGCTAGCAGGGAGCCTGGGCGCTTGGGCCGTTCAGGCCCGTGGCCACCTGCAGCGCTGCCCTTGGCCTTGGCAGAGGCCTTCTCGGAGGAGGTGGCAGGGTCCAGCCCGGAGCCCTCGGCCCTTGCCTCCTCCCGGCCACCAGCATCGTGCTCTCGCCGGGCGTGGTGCTCCGCGTGGCGCTGTCGTTCCTCCTCCTCCCGCCGCCTGCGCTGCTGCTGCTGGTAGCGGTGCTGGGCCTGGCGTTCGTGTCTCTGCAGGTAGAGCCGAGCCGTTACAAGACTAAGAAGAAAGGGTGTTAGCAGGTGCCAGCCGAGGCTGGTGCATGCCAGGGCTCTCTGTGGAAGGAGGGGAGACTTAAACACGTATTGGGCTCCAACTGCATCCCTGCACCTACACTGGGGGCTCCTTGCAGAAGTGGGAGATCCAATCACTTATTGGGTGCCAATTGCATTCCTAGGTACGTGCTGGGCCTCCCTGTGGAAGTCAGGGAGGCTTAAATGTTTATTGGGGCCCGGCATGGTGGCTCACACCTGTAATCCCAGCACTTTGGGAGGCAGAGATCACTTGAGGCCAGGAGTTTGAGACCCGCCTGGCCAACATGGTGAAACCCCGTCTTTACCAAAAAAATAAAAATTAGCTGAGTGGCTGGATGCGGTGGCTCATGCCTGTAATCCCAGCACTTTGGGAGGCCGAGGCGGGCAGACCACAAGGTTAGGAGTTCAAGATCAGTCTGGTCAATATGTTGAAACACCATCTCTACTAAAAATACAAAAATTAACTGGGTGTGGTGGCGTGCGCCTGTAGTCCCAGCTACTCAGGAGGCTGAAGCAGAGGAATTGCTTGAACCCGGGAGGCAGAGGTTGCAGTGAACTGAGATCATGCCCCTGGACTCCACCCTGGGTAACAGAGAGAGTCCATCTCAAAAAAAAAAGAAAAAAAAAAAAAAAAAAAAAAAAAAAGCTGACCATGGTGGCACAAGCCTGTAAATCCCAGCTACTTGGGAGCCTGAGGCAGGAGAATTGCTTGAACCCAGGAGATGGAGGTTACAGTGAGCTGAGATCATGCCATTCCATTCCAGCCTGGGCAACAAAGCAAGACTCTGTCTCAAAAAAAAAAAAAAAAAAAAGCTTACTGGGCACCAATTGCATCTCTGGGCCTGCACTGGAGCTCTTTGCAGAAGTGGGAGAGATCCAATCACTTATTGGGTGCCAACTGCTTCCTGGGCCCACACTGAGGTTCTCTGGGAAAATGGAGAGAGATTCTGAGGCTTATTGGGTTCAACTGAATGAATCCCTGGACCCACGCCGGTACTTTCTGGGAATTGAAAACAAACATTCACTGGCCATCAACTCTGTCCCTGGCTGTGTGCCAGACAGCATCTTAGGAATTGGTAAAATGGAAACCAAATCTGAGCCTCAACCAGAGAACAGGCAAGAGACCTTGCCTCCCAGAGAACCTGCTTCCCAGAGAACAGGCAAGAGACGGAACTGTGGCTGCAGGCCAGGTGTAGTATCTCACGCTTATAATTCCAGCACTTTGGGAGGCCAGGTGAGGTGGGCAGATCACTTGAGGTCAGGAGTTCGAGACCAGCCTGGCCCACATGGTGAAACCCCATCTCTACTAAAAATACAAGTTAGCCGGGTGTTGTGGCATGTGTCTGTAGTCCCAGCTATTTGGGAGGCACGAGAATTGTTTGAACCTGGGAGGGGGAGGTTACGGTGAGCCGAGATTGTGCCACTGCACTCTAGCCTGGATGACAGAGTGAGAGAGACTCTCTCTCTCTCTCTCTCAAGAAAACAAACTAAAACAAACAAACAAACAACAAACAAAAAAACAAAACCCATGGCTGACTATAGCCAGGTAGCCGTGTGTGATACTCTGTCAATGTAAACTTCAATGCATTCATGTTCCATAAAATAAAAAGTCAGCTTCTTGGTCGCGGCAACCCCACTTCAACATGCTCTCTGTAGCTAAAGGTTACAGGGACAGTGCAGAGACAGGCCATTGTCATCCTCGAGGAATGTTCCCTGTGCAGGCACTGGGGAGCTCCTTGGCCCATTCTGTAGCTTTCTGAGGAATGCGGAAGGAGCTGGGCTTCTAGGAAGCATCTCCTGTGTCCCTGGCCCCCTAACAGGGTGCAATCGGGCAAGCTGGTGGATGGCAGAGGTTCTGAAGGGCCAGCCTGGTCCTGGATGCTGCCAGGATTCCAGAAGCCACTGGACCCGTTGTTAGCACTAGTTATTTTTACTTAGTATTATTCCTTTTAGAGACAGGGTCTTGCTCCATCACCAAGCCTGGAGTGCAGTGGCGTGATCACAGTTCACTGCAGCCTTGAATCCTGGGCTCAAACGATCCTCCTACCTTGGCCTCCCAAAGCACTGGGATTATAGGAGTGAGCCACTGCACCCACGCAGGGAGCACTGATTATTATACCCAGTTCTGTGCAGTCTCTGCATTTGCCCTCATGCTGAGGAATTGACCACCAAGAGCAGAGACTCACCAGCAGCCCCACCAATGAGAAAACAGGGCCCAGCCTGGCCCCCCTACCTTAAAGGCCTCGCGGCGCTGGTACTCCAGCTTGGCCATTTCCTCGGCCACCCAGCCCGGGATGTCGGGGATGGCCACGTGGATGAGGTACTTGAGGAGCAGAGCAAAGTGCTGCAGGGGTGGCACAGAGAGGAGGCTGCAGACGCCAGGACCGCCCTCCCGCCTCCCAGCTGCCCCTGCCCCTGCCACCAGCCCCACCTCGAGCACCACCACGGATACGATGGCTGCCTCCGGGCTCAGCCAGGGGAAGAGGCGTTGCAGCTGCCCGCACTGGCCGATTAGGTAGCAGTTGACCACAATCGCTAGGACACCCATAGCCTCCATCACCTTCTGCAAGGCGGGAGGAGGGCTCAGGTGGAGTCCTGCCGGCCTCCCCAGACTCCAGGCTCCTCCCAGCTGCACCCGGGCTCCCTCTGGGCCTCAGCTCGGAGCTCTTGGCTTCCCCCCACCTGCCACTGGCCGATGCTCTCCACGCGCTGGCCGAAGGGCCGCTGCAGCCCGGTGCACAGCTTGAAGGCGTCGCTGCGGATCTCAATGAGGTTGTTGACCAGGGCGCACAGCGCTGCCAGGGGGAAGGCGGACGAGAAGAGCACGACGTAGCCGAACTGCA